CCATGCTCTGACCCTGGCTTGAAGATGAAGGGTGGCATTGGACGCACGTCCCTTGATGACGATGGCGTTGATGAAGCCGTACATCATATGAAGGACCAGGCTTTGACGCCGGTCTGAAGATGAGGGACGTCGTTGGACGCTTGTCCCCTGATGACGACGGCGTTGTTGAAGCCGGTCGTTTGAAGATGAAGGACGACACTAGTCGTACGTCCCTTGATGATGACGGCTTTGATAAAGTCGTGCGTCATGTGAGGAGCAGGCTCTTACCCTGGTTTCAAGATGGTCCTGGGGACGCTCATCCTTTGATGGCGAAGGCGTTGATGAAGCACTTCGTCGTGTAAGCTCAAGGGTTCTCCCACAGGGTTACCTTGGTCAGGAATCGCCAAGGGTTTGGATTCAGGGGAATACTGGGATGCCGCTTCGGCCTAGGGTTACACCTTACTCCTTCACACCTCGCTCACTCCTCGGCCTAAAGCAGTGGGGGACTGGGAGACTACACCGGCCTCTAAACGCAAGAAAGGACAAAATTAAAAATCCAAAAAAAACACAAGTTCACAACTACAACACTATATCATCCATGCACCATAACGTCCAGGACCTGGTGGTGCACCCTCGGCCGCAACAAAGTAAGCAAACAACGAAGCATAGGTCACCTCCCAAAAATGTGACGCGTGCCACTCAACGACCTTGAGATCATGTACTCCACTCTCGGCCAAGATAAGAAAACATGGACACAACGTCCTCGGGTCCAACGCCATCATCGTCCACGAGACCAAAATACGCACAACTTCCTCTGGATCAGTGCCGTTATCGTCCTCAAAGCCATGGACGCCAAACTACGGATATCATCGCTTCAGCCCGAAATACAAAAGCAATTATGGGGCCTCCTCGGCCAAAACACAAAAGGCAACCGCCAACGACCAGAAAGAGGAAACTTCGAGACTATGGAATCTACTCTCCCTCACTTCGTCTCCATCTCAGCTCAGAGATTGGGGGACTCCTGATGGAGTATATGGGTCTAGACCCCATGACCCACATACTCAGAAGAGGCACAATTGTCACCAGTGGGGCCTCCGTCAGCCAGATGACCCTCCATCGGCCAGAAAGATATCAACTCAAAACATGGTCCAGAAGCCAGGAGAATCGGGTGTCCCCGTCGGCCGGGTCTCTGTCAACCGTGGCTCCGTCAGCCAGACTTTGTCATACTTAGTCATTTCTACATACTTTGTACTCGGCCCAGTAGTGGCCTAATTGTAAATGGGTCTCCCAAGCCCAAGACTTTGGAGCCCAGCCCACATTTTCCCTATAAATACCCCTCTTGGGGGTAGTTGTAGAGGGTTCACAAATCATTTATTGCAAATATTTATTGCACTTCTCTCTCTAGCTCTCACTTTTCTCTAGACAAATACTCTATCAATATGATTATTAACCAACAAATTAGTAAATCTCATTACTGTAAATATTATACAACTTAAAAGTTTATATTATTTGTGATTGTTAGCTTAAATGCGGACGATGTTACTAATTGTGAGAATATGTAAGCAGAATAAAAAATACATTCAACAAACACGTAAATTTTTATTTCGCACACTAAATTGTGTAATACTAATAACAGAAATTGCCCTAAATTGGAGTAAAAACGTTTTGAAATTCTAAAATAGGATTTTTCATGTTTCTATTCCCTAAATAGGAGTAATTATGTCAAGTTTGGAAAAAATGTCGTGTTTAAAGTCTAGTAATGCTAAACTTGGCAGAAATTTACTCATATTCAGGGAATAAAAAACATGATAATCCTATTTTGGATTTTTAAAACTTTTGTACTTCTATTTAGGGAATTTTCTCTAATAAGAAAAAGTAATGTTGGAGTTAATTTTCGGGCTATATTGACTGAAGTTACCGTAGAGTATCATTTTAGCTACTTTTTCATATAATTTTATTTTATTTATTGATAACAAATATTTTAAATATAATTTTTTCATAAATCAATATAATCAACCTATATAACCACTTCAATCAGAACTTCATAAATTTCAGCAGAATCAGCCAATTCAGCCAATTTATGTGTCAGCAAACGAGCTTTTAGTGTTCCTTCCCTAAAATTTCTTGCGTTCTCTGCAACTCTCCACCTGCGACTCTTCTTCTTCTCCGACTCTTCACCTGCGACTTCTCCCAACATGACGCTTCATCTTCTTCGGCGTCTTCTACATCTCCCTTCTTCTTCACCTCTTCTCTACCTGACTGCGGACATCCTTGTCCAATTTCATCGATGAAGAGGATGAATCTAGTCGGCTCGCTCACCAGCGGATTGGGATTGCGGTTTAGGGTTGGGATCGAGCTAGGGTTACGAGTTTGGATGGGGCTAGAGTTACGGGGATTGGGGTAGGGCTAGAGTTACAGGGGTTGGATGGGGCTAGGGCTGAGCAGAGGTGCAATTGGAGACAGAGGCAACAGGTGGGTCGGCAGTTGGGGGTTGCAGGGGTTGGAGGGGGCTACAGACGCAATTGGTCACTTTTCTGGCGATTTTACGCGATGGGGAGGAGGGGAGGGGTTGGGGGAGTAGGAGAGGGGATTGGAGTTGGGATAAGGGGGCGTAGGCGGTCTCACACAATGGAGGCGGTGTCGAGGCAACAAGGTGGCGGTTTTCAGCGAAAATTTTAACGGGGAAAAGTTGCCGGAAAATTTTCCGGCAGCGCAGTGACACGTTTTCCAGTGACAATTACATTTGAAAGTGACATGAAAACCAGTAGTGACATTCCTAAAGTGACATAAAAATCTGATAGTGACATATAACAGTGACATAAAATCCGACAGTGACATTTTCCCAAATATGTGACCTTCTTAGTCACATTTTTGTCTTTTTTTTAAAATTGACACTTTTTGAAAATTAGCTTCTAGTTATTAATTTTAAGGGAAAAGCCCTCTTTATTTTCCTTCCCACAAACTCATGTTTGGGGAACGCAGAGGTTTACATTTTAATTAATCAACCTAAATAAAGTTATAATAAGCTTTTAAAATTTATGTCTAATGTTACTATAAGACATGTGTTTTTATGAAAAGGCTTGAGATGTTTTGATTTAATTGCAATTTTTGTCTACAATCGTTTGTTAAGTCTGATCTTGTTTGAACTTGTCTAACTTGGTAAATAAGTACTCCTTATTTTACATGTATTTTTCGATTCTCTAGGTTCAATATTTTCTGATTTTATTTATTTGATGTAATTTATTTGATTATGGCTAGTCTACTTTAGTTTTCTCTAAGACTAAAATTGGTAAAATTAAAAACATGTTGAATTCGATTAAAAACATGTTAAGTTTACTTTTAAACACTTCTATTTAGTTGTACACTTGTACATATGATTCGCAGTACTGAGTATATAATATACTCAGCAAGTCCGTAAGTACGTATAGGAGGGGTGAGAGTATAGTTTGTATACTTTGTATACTTCGTATTTATTTCCAGTTTTGTGAGTGACAATTCGTCGTAGGGTCTTTAAAGTATGATATAAAATCCCTTCCTACATCCATTACTATAAGCGTAATTTAGGATGTTTTATTTGGATCGTTTATATGATCAAACTTAAATAGATTAGATCAAATCAGATCATACTTAAATAGATGAGAGAATTTCTTAAATAGGAGTAAAAAAGTTTTGAAATTTCAAAATAGAAGTATCATGTTTTTTATTCCTTGAATATGAGTAAATTTCTGTCAAGTTTGGCATTACTAGGTTTTAAAAATGGCTTTTTTTTCAAACTTGGTAGATTACTTCTATTCAGAGAATAAAAAATATGATACTCATATTTTGGAATTTCAAAACTTTTTTGCTCCTATTTAGAGCAATTTCTATAAACATATCAATTCAGATCATATTTCCATAGTTATAGACTACATAGAGACCAGACGTTAACCAAACAATAACGAACGAGACTTAATTAGACTAGACCACCAAATTTCAGTCCAAGTAAAAACATCCTTAAAATAGGAAGAATTGCAAAAATATTACTAGTGGATTTTGATCGACAAAAAGATTACAATTTTAGATCAAGACATAAAAGTGATCATTTTTTATACTCCGTGATTTCTACTTTGCGCGTTACGTTTGTCTCTGTGCATCTATTCCCACACATCTCTTCATAGCACATCTTCCAGGCTTTGCCAAACTGCCGGCATCTTGAACGTCGTCATCATCGCCAACGCTCAAGCATCACATTTTCGAAATTTCGTCCCACCGCCACCACAAATATGAAAGGTATACACATGTTTTTATACGTATTTAATATATATGTACATCATATATACATATATATTAAATACGTAGTTCATACTAATATATACTACATCCATCTCATAAAATTCTTCTCATTTTGATTTGGCACGGAGATTAAGAAAGTGGAATAAAGTTGAAATGTATGGTTGTAGTTGTGTAAGAAAAATATGAAATGAATGTGAAGCACACAAATTGTTCAAAAATGGTAAGTGAGAAAGAATTTTTTGGGATGACAAAAAAAGAGAAGTGAGAAAAATTTTATGGAACGGAGGGAGTAATAGTGTGTGCGTGCGGACTTGAGTATGTGTCCAATAAAGGTAAAGTTTTTCAATTTGAGTGTATATCACATAAAAAATTTGGATAAAAAAAGACCATGATCGAGGAGAGGTTAACCGATTCAGAGATTATTCAAGATTTTTCTATGTGGAAGTGACATGACAATACCATAAAAACCCGTAAATTTGAAAAGCATGAATGAAGATGCTCTAATGTGAAACTTATATAAGGACCTCACACAATAAATTAACTATTGATAGAATAAAAAAGGTACAACATCCGTCTCTTTTTATTTAGTCATTTTTTGTTCTATCAACCATGATCAATTTTGATTCATTATTTTAATTATATTTACGCAAAACTAGATAATTTGTATTTTTACAATAGTATTTTTATTAAAGAAAAATTCAATGTGATATTCATATTATCAATATTTTTATGTATAAATATATGATCAGTCAAAATTTAATATCATTCATTTGAAAAGTCAATTTTAAATGATATGAGGAATTCTTAGGAACCCTAAAGATTCCGAAAAGAATTAGAGGTGGGAGTTTTTTTGCCGCTTTTTGTGTCCGGAAATCACATTCAGCTCTACTAACAAGAAAGCTTCTAAAACTCTAATCAAATTAGTAAACTTTTAACTAAAAACCGTAAATTAACGAACTAGCACGAAGGCGGCATAAGATGCAATGCTAAGTCATCATTCTGAACCGCCGCCTCCGCCGCCGTGAATGATGAATTCGTTGGAGAGCATTGATCCGGACGGGGCCTTCTCTTTGATTGAAGTGGGACCCCAAAAAGCCTGGTCCCACACAGATCGGAATCAGTCTCCGCCGCCACCGATTCTTCAAGAATCGTCACGCTGCTCTGGGATGTCTTGGCCGGAGAGCTGAGTTCCAGAGTAGCGGCGGCGTCATTAGATTTGGTATACGTGACGAGTTGACTCGTCGGCGTCTGAGTTGCCGAGTTACTGGCGCAGACCGGTTTGACATGGTTCTGGACAAAGTAAATAATGTCATTATAAAGCTTCCTCATGTGAGCTAACTCCGACATGAGCATACTGTTGCTCCTCCTCAGCCTGAGGTTATCCTCCGCCAGCGCCGCCACCGTACTGCCTCCCTTATTAAAGCTTCCCCCGCTAGTCGCCCCCGAAACAATGGTTGAAGAACCGAAAGATGGCGAGTGACACCATGTAGTTGTGTTGGTGACATTTCGCTTCCTCAACTGCTCTTCCGAATCTGGCGGTGAGACGCTGAGCCGCTTCTGAGCCGAGTAATAGAAACTCGGCTCTAAACCATTCATCGGATTGTGGTGGGTTGTGGCCGATTGTGGCTGAGCCGTCCGCCTCCGGTGGATCTCGCACAGCAAGTGCTTCTCTCCTCTTTTGAAAAAGTCATTGGCAAACTCCCATCTATCCGGGACAATCTTCCTAAAACCCTAAAACATTTAACAAACATTTATTACATTAACACTTTATCATCACCTGAATAGTCTATTTGACTGAGTTTATATAGCACTTTATTACTTCATATTTGACCGAAAGTTTCGTCCAACATAAATACTTACATAAGTGTTGAGTTGGCGGACGAAGGAAGAGAAGTTGTTGTGTTTGAAGTAGTTAGGGAGGAGATCGCGGGCGAACTCCGACGGACGCCAGACGATGAAGGTTGTGGCGTCTTTGCCCCAAGAGACGACGTGGTCGGTGTTCGGGTCGTCGACGAGCTGGTAGGTTTTGGTCAGAAATGGCGCCGGAACTGATGAGGATATTGATTTGTGTGAAGAGTCTAACGATAGTAATATGTTGTCGCAGTTATCTAAGGTCATCAAAGCCATTATAGATATGTGGGTTATATAAGGATCTAACACCTTTATGTTTCAAGAAACCTAAGAACTTGTAAGCCTTATATGAGTGTGGATGGAATCTGAAATATATATATATGGGTGGGATTGGGGGGAATGGAGTGAATTATTTTAATTTATAAGTAATGGAAAATGGGGGAGTATATTTTAGATACTTCTGAGAGCTAGTGTATAGTCAGATGATTCATTAGTGGAAAAAAGAGGTGGAAAAAGAAGATTATTAGGATACTACTTTTGAAAACCCAGAATATAATATGGGGTGGGTGGGTGGGGTGGGGTGGGGTTGGGATTGGGGTGGGGTATAGAGTATATTTGTCTGATTTATTTAGGAAGAAGAGATCGAGAATATGTGTCTCTTTGTCTTGGGACTTAGAGAATAAAATGGTATTCCAATACAAACCCGTGACATGAGGGATTAATTTAATTTAATAAATTAGTTTAGGTTAAAAATGAAAGGACTGGACTGTTCATTTAGTGGAAGATCAGGTGAGCCTGGATCCAAAGTAATCATATAATATTAAAAACGATGGTAAAGCAAAACTGTAATCTTCAAGAATTTAGATTAATTGGTACTTTGTAGTTAGAGAAATTAAATTAAAAAGCAAAGAATCATGTGGAACTCTTTCGTACGCCTTGCCTTTCACTTTTTCCTATTTATAATTATGGCACTTTATTGAACCTTTCTTATTTACCTCTTTTTAACCTCGTTCTTATTCTGGAATCGTGGAATGTTTGTTACATTGGTCCTTAATTAACTACCGAGAATAGCACCGGTTTTTTTTCGGGAGACGCGAAATTAAATAGACTGTCACTCAGATGAATGCCAATCAATACATTATATGGTTATTAATTGGGTGATTTATGTTCATGCGTAATAACCGAGAATTCTTATATTCTATCGGTCCGTCGATCTGTAGTCTCTTTCGTGATAAAGTGGAAATAATTTGGTTAACATATGGAGGGATATACTCCCTCCATCTCTTATCACTTTGTCAACTTTCTTTTCTGATGTTATTTCTCTCACCTATGCACAAATATCTACCACACAATTTTTACATTATTATTCTACGTGCTGGTCAAATTTGTTAAACCTTTAAGAGACTGAGGTAGTATGAAATATATATATTTCAGACAAATCTTAAACATACATTTCAGTAAATTAAAGGTCAAAAAGGGAAGAAATGCACATATGTACCGTGAGTGCGAGAATAAATTTTCCCTCCTTAAACCAACCGTAAGTCAATTAATAAAGGGTATTAGAGTAATTCTAAAAACTCAATTAATCTGGTAATGGTGGAGGCTGTCACTTTGCAAAAAAAAAATAGTTAAAAATAAATCTCAAATCATATTAAATGTGTTTAGTTTAAAATTGATTTAATTTTTCATATTATAATCCAATTTTATCAAAAATTATATCAAATTAAATATTTTTCATCATCTTTTAGATGACACCAAAATTGCATATATAATTTTTTCATAACAAGAAGCATCTCTAGCTATCACACACACAAGAACATGTATCTAACGCACAACATTTTGGGATGGCTAAGTAAGAAAATTTGACAAAAAAATTGTGTGAAGAAGGGAGTATTTAAGAGTTTTAAACACATTTTATTATCACACACACAAGAACATATATCTCTGATTGAAATGCAAACAAATGGACCAGACAAACGTAACACAGGATCGGTCAACCCAGGACCGATCCTGGTGGTCCATGGGGCCAGTCTCCTTATGAAACCGGTTCAAGCGGTTCCGACCCCACTATATAACCGGTCAGCCCAGTTCCAACCCAGTCATGGGATCGGATCCAATGCACACCGTCAGAATTCAAATCGAAGTATATAACTGGAGGGTAGGACAAAAGACCTAATAATAGACTAGAAGGAACCATTCTAAATAATGAGAAGCAAAAAAAAAAATCAAACCACGCACAATTGAATCTAACTCGAAGATCTTAGATAGTTTAATAAGGGACGTCAGGTAATAACAGCATCATATTATATTAGAACATTCTCACTTTCTAAAAAAAAAGGATGACACCTCGTTCTTGAGCCCCACAACAACGATCGAACGGTACGTTGGGGGATGCAAATTGGAGTATAATCATAATCTGAGATATAGAGAGTGAGACTCAGTTCCCGGTACTTGCAGAGGTCCTATGCATTTTTTAGCATAGTAACCTCTCATCGCAGTTGCCGGGATTCGAACTCGAGACCTAACCCTTGTGGCACACTCTCGCTACCAGTTGAGCACTTGAGCTACGTCCACCGGTAAGGTTCCCATTTTCCTTTTTTGGATGTCTCATATAAATGTTCTCATTTTCATTTTAAGAAACAATTAATAATCTTAAATGACAAATTAATCATTAAATATTAAAAATAATACGTAGTACATTTATAACATCACAATTATCAATACTAACTACATTATAATATATACATATTAAAGTTATTTCTCAAAATATATCTGGAGTACATTATTTAATTATTGCCTAAATAATCATGTCGTTTTGTTATGAAGAGAACCTTCCCACTAGAGGAAAGTAGTGTATAACTAGAACTAGAAAATACTACCTCCGTAATACAAAGATCTTCCTATTTTGACTTTTCACGACTTCTAAGTTGAACTTTGACTCTTAATATCTACATATCTATATGTATAAAATTCATAATAAATTAGCATTCAAATAATATGTTATACAATGAGGTATATAAAATAAATTTTTAAACATAATGTGAGTTTTGAATAATTAATGATCAAAGTTTATAATGTATCGTGAATGTCGAGACGGATGTCGTCTAGCATCTCTCTATTTTATTCCAAAACTTTCTACGTCGTATAGATTGATAGAGTATTCTAGCTTCTTCTTGGGCAGGCCAGGGTTTCATTTGCAGACAAATAACTCAAAGGATACATCAAATCGATGAACTACACGATAAGCTAAAAGCCTGTTACTATTTGTATTCTATACGTGCCATATTGCCAGGCGGCAAGCATACGTTAGGTTTCCGCAGAACACTTCTACATTCATTGGTCTCTATCCGCGGATTCATGGAGTTTTTTGGGAGTATTAACAATAATTTAAGAAGAAAAAAACAGCTTTTTACTTAAAAATGTGAAATTCATGTTTTCAAATTTCAAGTGAGCTGTGAGATTATGTAATTTTGTTTGACAGAGAATAAACTTATTTATTAATGATAAGAGTAAGAAGAGATAAGACAATACATTGAATACAATAACTCGAAGCTACGTGCATTGGGATGAGACATGAAATCAGACGGCCTTCAAGCATCAAATAAATTCGCTAATCTTGCAACTATGTAGACTAATCTAACAATATTGATGAACTTGCAACTCAAAAGTTAATTGAAAGAAAATAAATTGTCCAAACTAGAGAGGCAAAAATTAAATTAAGAATCCCAACTTCACCGGTCATCGGAAAGGGAAAGGTGATTTGACCAACAATCAACAAAGGAAACTCAAGTAAGCAGAAGTTTTCTGTTATCAACAGTTTGACCAACCACGAAAAAGGAAGTCCAATTGAACCTTTATCTTCTCGAAGCGAGACGGTGGTTCAGGTGAAGGGCGAATAATTATTGAAGTCTCAGAACAACAAGTTGGAAAAAGTTTCACGAACCATGGACATCGAAAATTCACCAGATCAATTACACTAATGAGAAACACACGACCTCTACACATTGCTAAGAAAATAACATATCACACGCTCACCTGAAGCAGACAGAATTCTCGGACAACGAAGAAGCCGAACCAAAATCATTAAAAGTAGATTTTTAAAAAGAGCGGAAGCATAAAAAATATTTGATTCATTGATCCTTCATTGTCCAGAGGATGTCAATATCTTCTAAGATTCTTGCTGATTGAAGAAGAGAAGGTTAGAAGATCAGATCTTGGAGGAGGTCGGGGCATGTCTAGGATTTCCCATAGGGCCGGTCGGCTCTTACTGGTTATACTATCCTTCGTTCTTTAAAAGTTGTAACAACTTAACTTTTACGTTTGCCAACACACAACTTTTAATTTTATTATATTTAATTACGTATTAGTAACCATTATAAAAAACTAATATTTTGGAAATTCAAAGTAATAGAAATTTAATAACACTTTATATATAATAGTTTGATTATATATATTAGTAGAAAATCGTGGTCAAAATAATTTAAGATGTGTGAATAATGCAAAAAAAATTAGAACGATTAAAGAATGGGGGAAGTATATTGTGTTGGAGTTTGGTTGTTTACATTTCTCGGATTTTTAAAAGGCAAATTTTCTATTTAAATTAAGCACTTTAAATTAAAAGTAAAAAGAATATATGGAGGTCGGGATGCTTCAAATTATACGGAGTACATTTTACCTTTTCTATTACACAAAACAGATTTTATTAGACATTACCGACTTTACTACTAACTTTTCAATATCACTTTTTCCGGAACGTTATTACAAAACTATTTTATCTAAAATCACTTTTTCTACTGTAAAAAGAACCTCAAATTCAATTCCAATTTCCCATAACTGATAATTGTATAGCTTATTTCAGGACTTGAAAGAAACAATTACCTAAACATAACTTTCAATTTTGTATTTCACAAAAGATTTTTTTATGTCAATTATAAAAATTATGTTCTATATTATCTCAAAGTTAACCCTCAACTAGTCAATTGTCATTTTTGCCACCAACAGCCTTTGACGGGCCAATTTTTCCTAGAAGGAAAAAAATGTCTTGGAGCACGATCGTCAGAACAATCGTTAATTGGGGTTCTATAAGAACTACTTGTAACTTTTATAATTGAATATGATACACAAATTATCCGTAAATACGTCCTGCGTTCAAATTGATTTGCAAAGTTTAACTTTTCGGATCAAATAGTTTCATTTTAATCACTTAATTAGGATATAAACTATTAATTAAATTTTAATTTGGATTTTACAATCTTGTGGAGATTTTAATATATTTCAAAATATTTAAATTTAAATTATTAAAATTGAATTATTTATACACATTGGAACGGTGGTAATATGCAGTACTTAATAAAATATAGTACTCCGTAAAA